AAGGCAGTCACTTAACCAACTGAGCCACCCAGGCGCCCTATTTCTTCCTTTTTAAGGTAAGCATTTACAGCTTTACATTTCTCCCTGAGCACTGGTTTCACTGCATCCCATGAATTTTGGTATGCCATGTTTTAGTTTTCAGTTGCCTGAGGTATTTTCTAGTTTTCCTTGTGCTTTCGTCTTTGACCCCCTGGTTGTTTAGGAGCATGTTTTTTATTTCCACATATTTGTGAGTTTTCCAGTTTCCCTTCTTGTCATCAATTTCTAGTTTCATTCCACTGTGATCAGAAAAGATGCTCTGCATAATTTCCATCTTTTCAGATTTATTCAGACTTGTTCTGTGGCAAGAGGAGTCCTCCTTCCTCTATTGCAATAATCCTCCTTTTTTATTGCAATAATCCTTTTGAACAAAGTCTCTATTTAAATCCATTCATTTTTTTATGTGGCAGACTGAAGGATGAAGCCCAGCCTCCTCAGCCTGGCTACAGGGGGCCCTTGGAGAGCAGATGCCAGCCAGAGTTTCCAGGGGGAAAATTAACCTTGTGTCCTTTACCTCAGGTTCCATCTATTGCAGACTGACTGTCCTTGCTCAAAAAGCTGCCAAGTCAACCTCCACTTCCTTGCTTTGTACCTGATGTTATCACTCCCTGGGCTGCTTTTCCTCTCCTCAGCTTGGCCAACTCCTGCTTGCCCCTCAAGGTGGAGCTTGAAAGGAGTTTCCCCTCAAAAGCCTTTTCTAACCCTCTTCCCACCCCTGAGGCAGAGGTCAGAGCTTTCACCCTTGTGTCCTCAGACCATGGGCTCTTCTTATCTGTTTAATATCCTATGCCCATCTTATAGGAGCCTCATCACACTGTGTTTTAATAGGTTGTGTATTTCTGTCCCTTCCCTGAACCCCACCGATGAACTTGAGCTCTTCTGAGGCAGAAACTGTATCTTCTTCCCCTTGGTGTTCCCAGAATATAATAGGCATGCAGTAAAAATTTGGAGAATGAAGAAATGGGGAGAAAAGTAGGGATTTCTCAAGGCTTCCTTCATGAATGTTATGCAAAGGAATGGAAATGTACTTAATTGTCTTGTAACTGACCAGGAGTGAAGTGGTGTTTGTGGTAACCTTGAAAAGAAAAACTAGAGAAAGTTGGCCATTCTGTTGAAACATCTGTGTGAGTGCAAAGGAGGGTGGCCCTAACCCAGTGGTTCTCAACGGGGGACCTTTGTGCACCATCTCCCCCTCCACAGACATTTGGCAATGTCTGGAGATATTTTTGGCAGTCAAAAATGGGTAGGGGAAGCTCCTGGCATCTTGTGGGTAGCGGCCAAGGCCGCTGCTTACCATCCTACAGTGCACAGGATAGCCCCCCCCCACCATGAAGCCTCATTCAGCCCCTTATGCCCAAATATCAATAGCACTGAGGTTTTTAAGCCATGCCCTAATCCAGTGCATGGGAAACTGCAGAGCTGGGGCGGGGGGTGTGAGATAGGGAACGCAGCTTGTCTGAGGAGGTGGATTTGAGCTGGATCTCAAAGGATAAGTATGTGCGATAAAGATGGAGAAAGGAGACACTATCACAGTGAGATGAAACCGTGCGAACAAAGTAAGGAGAGCACAACAGGCATGGGATGTTCCGGGAATGGCAAGGATGTGGCTTAGGTGTGTGAGGGATGGTGGCTGAGAGAAAGGGGTGAGGCAGGTGACAGTGAGATTGTGGAAATTCCTGAGTAGCTCTCCCTGGAATTGACCCCTCATCTGGAGGGAGAGGGGCAGGCATAGAAGGGTGTTTAGCAGGGAAGGGACAGATGGGCTGACAGGGAGACCAGAGGCTGGGGAGGTAGCTGTTTTAATGGACCTAGGGGACAAAGGTCAAGTGAGACCTGATCTGGGCATGCAAAGGAGGGGACAGATCAGGAACTTGGTGACTCATGGGAATGGGCGATGAGAGAGGGGGAAGTGAAACAAAACCCTGATGTGAATACCTGAAATAGGCCTTATACTTCTCCTTTGCTCACTTGCACATTAATGGCCTTTCCCTGGGACCACAGGGTTGGTCACCCACTTGATTAGGGTGCAGTGGAGAAACTGACGACATGCGTCTACAGGTTGAAGCCTACAGGTTGTTCGACCAGTCGAATGATTACCTGGGCAGCATTTGGCCCTTGGCTGAGTGCGCTTTGACCAGGATCCAAGAGCTGCTCACCGCACACCGGGCACAGAACCTCCCCGTGTGCATTAGGTCAGTGCATTCTCAAAACCACCAAATGAGCTAGGGAATGTTGTTATCCTCATTTGAGGGAGAAACAAGTGGAAGCAGCAACAGGTTAAGTGGTGAAGTGGGCGTTTGAATCCTGGCAAAATGACTTTGAAGAACTTAAATTATTATTTTTTTAATTAAGGGGAAATTCATGTAACATAAAATCAGTGATTTTAAAGTGAACGATTCAGTGGTATTTAGTACATCCACAACGTTGTGTAACCACCACCTCTATCTGATTTTAGAATATTTTCATCACCCCAAAAAGAAACCCTACACCCACAAAACAGTCACCCTCTCCACAGTCCCTGGCAGCCCATAATCTGCTTTCTGTCTCTATGAATTTACCTATTTTACATATTTCATATAAATGGAATCATACAATAAGTGACCTTTGTGTCTGGAGTACTTCACTTAGCATATTTTTGAGGTTCGTGTATGTTGTATGTATCAGGGCTTCAGCCTTTTTTATGACTGAGTAATATTCTGTTATATGGATAGACCACATTTTGTTTACCCATTCATCCATTGATGGGCATTTGGGTTGTTTCCGCCTTTTAGGTATTATGAAGGGGCTTAAACTTTTAATCACTGTCCCCTACCACCTTCACAAAGACCACTAAGACGGTCTCTAGACCCGTGGATTAAAGCTATGGTGGAGAGATGAACGGGATCTGTGGGGTTCCAGAAGAGGGAGTTCCAGAGTCTTCCCCACTTCCCCTGCTTCCCCAGGATAGCAGGAAGGGGGGCAAGAAGGCTTCATGCTGGAAGTTGAGCCTTGAGTATTACTGGACCTGGTTTCTCCTTGGGGCACTTTATACCATGCCCAAGGGGACCTCACGGCCTCCAGTGGGGGAGGAAAAGTTGCAGACTCACCAGATTCAGGAAGTGGTTCAGATAGTGTCCTCTTAGAGGAACAGCCAGAGAGGAGTGTAAACTGGTGTCTATGAGATTGGAGAAGAGGAAGAGGCCTGTTTCACAAGAGCCCAGTGAGTACCAGACCAGAAACTGTGTTCTGGTGGGAAGCTGCAGTTAATGGAGGCATGGGAGCATGATGCTCTCCTTGCCAAGATGGTGGGTATCAGGCGGCATGCCCTGTGGAACATTCCCACATCCTGGATGGAGAACCAAGGGGAGAACCAGACTTGAGAGGAGACATGGAGCCAGTTTGGGATGCATTGAAAGTGAGGAGCCTGTGGTCCTTCAGGGAGATATGTCCAAAAAGACATAGGGATTTAGAGTCCAGGAGAGAGCCCTGGGCTGGAAATACAAGCTGGAGGCCCCAGCAGAGCCCAGGCATGTCGTCCCCTTGCACTCAAGTGCAAGGCATTTCAAAGGTCTCCTGAGCCCACTTCATGTGCTGTGTCCAAGGCTGGGCTCTGAAAACACAGGGCCAGACATAGTCCCTGCCCTGGGGGAGCTTATAGTCTGGTGGAAATCAGAGTTAGGTAATTACAAGATAATCTTTTAAAAATCTTTTTTTAAAAACGATTTTATTTATTTATTTAAGAGAGGGCGCACGCGCGAATTGGGGCAGGCAAAGGGAGAGAGAAGGGAAGAGAAGCAGACTCCCCTGAGCCTGGTGCTGGGCTTGGTCCCGACCCTGAGTTCATGACCTGAGTGGAAACCAAGAGTCCTACGCTTAACTGAATGAGCCACCCAGGTGCCCCATCTTTTAAAAAAATCTTAATGTAAATTTTGTTGAAGAGTACTTTTCACAGAAAATACAGAAAAGGGCACAAATCACAAATGTTTTACTAGAAAATCTTTCAGAGAGTGACCACATCTGAGCAGTTAGGACCCAGATCAAGATACAGATCTTTGGGGCGCCTGGGTGGCTCAGTTGGTTGGGCGGCTGCCTTCGGCTCAGGTCATGATCCTGGAGTCCCGGTATCGTGTCCCGCATCGGGCTCCCTGCTCGGTGGGGAGTCTGCTTCTCTCTCTGCCCCTCCCTCCTGCTCTGCTTTATCTCTCGCTCTCAAATAAATAAATAAATAAAATCTTTAAAAAAAGGAAAAAGATGGGCGCCTGGGTGGCTCAGTCGGTTGGGCGACTGCCTTCGGCTCAGGTCATGATCCTGGAGTCCCGGGATCGAGTCCCGCATCGGGCTCCCTGCTCGGTGGGGAGTCTGCTTCTCTCTCTGCCCCTCCCTCCTGCTCTACCCTCTCTCATTCTCTCTCTCAAATAAATAAATAAAATCTTTAAAAAAAAAAAAAAGATACAGATCTTTACCAAAAGACCCCAGGAGGTCCTCACTGGCCCCTTCCTTTCACTACCCACCAACGGTAATCAGTATCTGGACTTCAAATACCAAAGATTAGTTTTGTCTGTTTCTAAACCTTACATCAAAGATGTCACATAGTGAGGACTCTTGTGTCTGGATTCTGTCACATTATGTTTGTAAGATTCTTACATGTTGTACAAAGTTGCTATTTGCTTCTTCCATTGCATGAATACTCTGCAGTCTGTCTACCTGTCTTACTGTTATGGGCATTTGGGCAGGTTCCATTTTTTCATGGCAACAATGGCAGCCATGAACATTCTCGTACACATCTGGCGAACATTTGTATGCACTTCTGTTGGATACACACCTTGGAGTGAAATTGCTGGCTCCATGCTCAGTTGTTAGTAGAGAGTGACAAACATTTTTCCAAGGGGGTTGTACCAATTCTCACTCCCCCCACCCCTGGCAATGTATGAGAGTTCCAGATGCTCCACATCTTCACCAACACTTGATATTCTTGCACAGGGGCCATGCTAATCTTCTCTGTATCTTTCCAATTTTAGGATATGTGCTGCTGAAGCGTACTTGATACTCTTTAAGAAAAAAATTTTATT